AAAAGGCACATCTGCAGCAACAGCTTTCAAAAATAGGAAAAGCGATTGCAGTTTGGGGTGCCGGAGAGAGGAGAGGAGCGAAAGCATCGTTTCACTATTCATTGCCTCCTCCAGGAGGAGCAGGCAGTGATTGCTCCGTAATTAATTAAACATTGGAGTAGCACTAACGATTTCTATAGGCACGGAGGCTTCGACCCGAGGCTCTCTGAGCCCTCGGCAGCGCTGCTGGCCCCGAGCTGCTCCACGGGGCTGAGCCTGTCCCCTCTGCCCGCTTTGCTCGGAGGCTTCAGGGACGCCTCGGCAGGACCCTGAACCCGCAGGGTCAGGCGGCCTTTTATCCACTGTACAAACCTTTCAAAGTCAGCTTTAAAAATTACGAAAGGACATTTATACCCAACTGCAGGCACTACAGCTCCCGCCTGCGCAAGCGGCCGTGATTTTTTGGAGCCGGCCGAGCCGGGGCCGGATCCGTGGGACGCGCAGGACGCGACGCTCGGATCTGCAGAGCAAACAGCAGAGCTCCAGCTTCCCAACCTCGGGGGGAACACTGCTGAGTTCGCAGCTTCTAAAAGAGGCCAGGAAAAAAAAAATAAAGACAAAAAATTGGCAGGTTTAACTTTACATCAATTCACAGTGCATCGTTACATTTTTAAAGTATATAAAACTATCGATCATAAGCAAGGCAATTACTTCGGCCCATATTTAAAGCCACACAGAGGGCGATACGGAGGGATCCCTGAATCCACCCAGCCATTTGGCACGGAGGAGGCAAAAAAAATCTCCATCAGAGGGAAAAAGCCGTGAGTGGAGCCTCCTCACATGCAAGCCTGCGCACGTCTGCGGGGCTGGAGGTCTCTGAACCTGACTCGTGGTTAAATCATGGAAATTGCCAAGATGGGAGCGGTTTTGGACACCCTACTCAACAAGAGGCAGAAACACAAGCGGCCTGAGGATGCACCCCCAGCGTACCGACCAATATTTCATCTCCAGAGGCTTCCAAACCCATCGTGAGCATCATGACTGCTCCCAGGCGCACTGAAAACACGACGAGAACTTCTTCAGCTACCGCCAAACCTCCATCATTTTGAGCTGGGCCTTGAGCTAGCTGTAATGATCCTGAGACCGAAGAGCGAGGGAGGTTGAAGCATCTTCCCCTGCAGTGAAGGAACCCCTCGCCCTCCCAGTCACCCCCCCAGGCGTTGGGACAGCATGGGTGCAGAGCCCGAGCCGCGCGGGCTTTACGCACGGCACAGCCACTGCAGAAACGCCTCCGCGGTAACCCAGCCTGATCGCACGCGACGTTTGGGTAGCAAGTTTTGCAGAGAATAAATATCACACTTCAATTTCATGGTAACTTAGGAGGGTTTACTGGCAAATACCATGGCTTTTACATGGTTCTACCAATTACCGAGCAATTACACGTAACCTGGATCTGGAGGACATACAGTAGCAGTATAATGTATTCCTCTCTGCCTTAAGAAGAAAAAGGCAGCTAACAGAAAACACTTTTTTATATATATATATTATAAACTCCTCCACAATATTCCTGTGTGACATTATTAAACCTCCACATCAATATCAAACTCAAAGCAAAGACTGCTGTCCCATTAACACATCAGTTGTGGGATGATCAATAAAAATTTACGTTAAACCGCGCCATATGTCGCTCCCCACAAAGTTTTATTATTCAGATTCACCAGTTTGTACCTCAACCCCCACGCAATTAAATCCCATTTAGCAGCACTGACCTTCTGATTTGAACTTGTCATTCCTACATCTGGTTTGGAGTTTTGCAGGACTTTTAAATAATGAAAACAAAATGTCTGTGAATTAACGGCGGGGTACGGGGAGGCCTGCGCCGGAAAATCCCTCCCGCGCTGCTGCCAGGGAGACGGGGGGCGGGGAAAGATAAAAGAGTGCCAGCACATTTTAACATGTTGTAGCATATTTGTAAACATCGTTAATCACGGATTAGCAGATGGTAATGTTAATTGCACCTGTGGAAGTAACAAGACCTCAAGGTTGATTACATTTACAAACTCGGGTGGGGGCTGCGGCGCACTAGAGCTTTGCAAAGACAAGGAAGGTGTCCTCCGTCCCACAGCCCTTCCCGCCTCGGCAGACCTCATCAGGACCCGGTGGTGGGTTTGACGGAACGGGACGTTTTCGGTCGCGTTGAGAATCTGTGCACTAAAGCGAAATCTGGGGCACGAGCGGAGCTTCTCTCGCAGCCAGCTCTCCCCGGAGTTGATTTTGGGGGATGAGAAGATCTGCGTTTGCCCTCGTCTGAGGATAAAAAGGGCGAGGCGCGGAGCGCATCTTCTGAACCAAGGAAGGCAAATATTCTGCCACTGCACTTAGAGACACTTTGATTATGGAGAAATCATTCTAGAAGGGCAATTACTAATTTTTAAGATCAATTTGGTAAATAAGCCTCTGAAAGGAGTCCATGACAAGCAGCAGGGAGGGAAGAATTGACTTTCAAATTACACATGCACTTTATTCATATCTAAATATCAAAGAGACTGTATGTACAAACAAACGTAATCAGGAAGCATGTTTTGATCTTGCTGATGTACACAAAAAATGACAATTAATGTCCTCCTTTATGATATAAAGCTGGGAGTTTTTTTACAGTTACATTACAGGGATGATTATAGTCAAGCTTAAGGCTAAAAATAATGAAAGACTATAAAAACTACATTTTAACATTTAAAAATATCCAGGAAATTAACTGGAGAAGCAGGCAATGATCCAATTAATGGATCGCATTTATTAGATGGGGGCAAATCGCACAGCACAAAGCTCCATCCACAAAGGTGCGAGTGCGCAGAGGTCCCCGTGCTCCTCGCGGGGCTCAGCCCGGAGCGGGATGGAGCTGGGGCAGGGAAAGCGTCGCCCACGGCAGACACATCCAGAAGCCGGCTGGGTGACAGCAGAGGGGCATCCCCGTGAAACAAAGCGGGGCCAAAAGCTACCACGGAGGGAAACGGGCCCCGTGCAAACCACCGAGCCGTCCGGCATGGGATTTACTGCACCCACAAAAGCCTGTGTTGCAGGTCTCCAGCAAAAAGTCTGAGCTGCAGCCCTAGCTACACACGCAGATTCCTGCCTCTTGGAACTCCAGCCTCGTGCAACTCCCCGTAAGCCTTGTCCGATACTCCGGTGCCAAGACAAGGTGCTGCACGGGGAAATGCGCAGGGGAGCTGCGATGGTGCTGGACTGATGGGACAAGCGACTGCGGGAGCTTCGATCTACCTCACCCACCCCGTCGGCAGAGCCGCTGCAGGCACCGAGGTGTCAGAGCGTTTTGGGAGCCTTCCAGAAGTAAAGCAGCTGCTCCATCGTTACTCGTCTGCCTTCTCATTCGAGGGGGTGAGCTGGCATGGCTAAGCACAGTCTGACGGCGCCCGGCGTTCCCAAACACATGGGAAGCCAGTGAAGTGCCTCCTCTATTAAAGTACTGCTCAAATAAATCAAAAAGGAGAAACTGCAGTTCCTATGAAATCAGAAAAATATATATATACTTACCTACAGGTCAGGAATAAAGAAACAGCTTTATCCTCATCCCCGCTGCTCGACAGGAAGGATTCCGTTACCCCAACTGCTGAATCGTTCCTCGGAAAAATGTGGAAATCTGAGCCACGGGCACCCTCTGCTGGGACACCCACGGCTGCGGGAGCAGCGCCGGCACCCAGCTTGACAACTCGTTATTATCATGCTTTTTATTTCACATTTAAAAAAAAAAAAATACATTCAGCCCACAAAATGCAAGAGCTGTCGCCCCAGCAACTGGCCAGGCCCCCCCAGGGACTCAGCTGAAAAACCTCCACATCCACAGACCGGTTTACAGACTTCATTTAGCTCAAAGGAAAGTCCTAATTAGTCACTCTGAGTGATTTACTTGTTCATTTGGATGGGGGGGAGGGAGGAGACTAAGCTGAATTGTTTGAAATTATCCCTAAAGGGCACTGTAAATTAAGTGTTAATGAGGAATCCTATGCAAAGGGCCACAGTAGCTAAATAAAATAATTAAGGTGCTAAGTGATAACATTCATTTGGTTCTCAATAATTTAGCCAGCCTGGTTTTCAACCAGGATATTTGCAAATGAAGCCACCCTCACCCCTCCGTGCCATCAGCGGGGACAGCAGCGCTGGGACAGCTCAGCATCCAGCAGGATCAGGCCCACCACAGAAAGGAAACTTCCCCGGAAGAGAACAAGCTCCTGATCCCCTTCCCACCTGAAGGAAGCACCCTGTTCCACTAATCACACTCCGGATTTATATACGACAGACGCAAAAAGGATTGACTGGAGCCTACAAGCAACCTTTACAGAGGGTTTATTTCAAGGGGCTGCGGTTCTCCCCGCGGCAGCGTTCTCCTGACAGCTCATGCCCATCCTTTGGCAGGGCTGCGGACCTGGCTTACAACCAAACACCGCACGGCGTGTTTTCAGACATCCAAGCAGCAATATGTAACAGAGAAACTGCCTCTTCGTGAAGACACTGCTAACGAGCAGTCCCGAATCCTACCTGGTTCTCACCAGCACGCTCTCGGCTGCGAAGGGGGCAGCGGGCTTGGGCTCGGGGCACGGCTGCTCTCGGCGGCGGTGCCAGCCGAGCACCATCTCTCACCTACAGCCCAAGTTCTCTCCACAGCACGAGCGACGCACAAAGTCCTCCGTGCAACAAGCGCAAAGCCAGGTATTTTACTGCAAGAACCAAAGGATTTGGCTGTCTGCTTTTAAAACCTAGCTTCGCCTCCCCTCCTCACAGCCGCTCCTCCGAGGTGTTACCTAGTGCCTGCAGGTGTCTGACCTCAGCGTTCAGCCAGGGTTCTGGTGGTATCGCGCATCAGCCAAGACGCAGCTCAGGTCAGTGGGGCTCTCCCCGTAACTTGCAGCGACGGTGAAGACCCTGGAAAGAGCACTTCCATATCCACACCAACAGAGCACAGCCACGGAACGCCGAGCAGCTTCCCTCACCAAATACAAAAAAATTCAGTCACCGTGCCTCAGCTTCTGGCTGCAGATGGAGTGCAGGAGAATACCTGCAGGGAAGTAAAAATAAATTTTTTTACAAAAAGATCTTTTCTTAAACCACAAGAAAATCATTCTGTGGGCCTGGATGTCTGTTTGATTTGGAAATTTGGACTGTGATGCCTTTGTACATCAGAGCTGTTTTTACCAGTAGCAACAGAGACGTTCAGCGACTCGATGCCGGGGTGAAGCGCTCTGCCAGGCGGTATGGCCAGCATCCGATGGCACAAGAGCTGCGTCTCTAGGGAAAGGCCGTCACCTTCACTACCTGCAGAACAAAGACACTGCTCAGGTCAGCTTGCAGCTGCTGCCATGTCCCTTTTGCCCCCTCCCAAACACAGTTCTTGGTAATGCTCTGTCACAACTACACCCTTGCCCCTCAGCTCACCAGCATCCTCACCAGCTCCCATGCAGCAACAGCCAAGAACTACCAGGGGCGAGATGGGCACTGTACCTGCCTTCCCTTCCCGGCCACTCCAGCCTCCCCGGATATGTTCTCCAGTATCTGAAGTGGTTTTGAGGAACACCTGTGCAACATGTCTGCACGCCCAGCGTAAGGCACAGAGCTTCGTCACCTGAGTGCAAAGACCCCCTGCGCAAGCAGCCACCATGCCAGCGGACGGCTGCCCATGTAGGAGGGCTGCTGCCAGAGGGACAAGGCAGACAAGAGGCCACAGGGCTGATCTGGTCCAGCAAACCCCACATCCCTATTGATAGTGACGGGTTCAGCCTTCTCAGCACACAGTACCACCAGCTGGGTGCAACTTGTGAATGCAGACAGTTTAACCAGAGGCTTCAATTGATTAGTTGTTAAACCATCCAACAGCCCTGATATGTTTGGGCTGATACACTAGTGAAACAGAGTTGAAATCTATCCCAGGTCATTAGTAGTTGTTTGACTCACACTGTCACAAAGGGAAATGGAAAGGGAGAGGCTTTAAACAATCCTGCGTGCAGACAAGTGAAAATGCAGAAGACCACAGACCTCCCAGCCCGCTCGGCTCCCCACAGAATTCTTTCCCATTAATTATTTAGAGCTACACAGACAGCTACACGGCTGCAAGACCCAGCTCATTCCTGCGACGTGCCCACCCTCCGACAAAACAGGCTCAGCACGCTGGAAGCCAAACGTTCCCCTTCAACAGCCGTCCCCCAGCCGCAGCCAAACCAGGGACGGCACTGCCGGGGCACGCGCTGCCTACCAGGGGTTCTGCGCCGCTGCCTGCGTGACCAGGGCTGCCACCACGGCCTCGCTGAGCTCACCTGAATGTAGACACTTACCCGAAGTTTTAACAGCATACATGGATGCTCTAGGCACTTTCTGTGCCACTGGAGACTCACTCCGCAAGGCAAATGAGCTCCTTGCTCGTCCGAGTTGCCACAAAATTCTTCCCCTGGTGCCTGCTTACAGCACCTCCGCGGCAGATCCCTACGTATCGATTGCGTGATACTCCTCGGACCGCACGGGCTAGGAAAAGTGTTCTTATTCCCATTTGGTAGACTGGAAGCTGAGGCCCAGTCTCGTGTTTTACTGGCGTGATCTAACTGGCAAGATGCATTTTGTGCAAGCAGAAGAATGCTTTGAGTAATGCATCTTGCACCACCTTCCCACATGAAAGAAGCCACACTGGCAAAAGCATCCTTTGGCTGGGGTAAGCGAACCTTCAGAAAACCAAAATCCCATCCTATCCTAACCATTATTTTCTTCCTTCTCTCTTTAAGCCAGCAGTGCAGACACGACCTGGGTGCGTTATCCAAAGTCACAGGGGAAGCCTGGGCAACACAAGGAATCAGAGCCAGGCCTCCCACGGCCCGGCCTGCCTCTTCATCACTAGACTGTGGCTCTCTAGGGATGCTTGAGGGAAAAAAATTATTCTACTTTTTCCTGATCCAACACAGAAAACTTTACAACTTGCAGACATATTTGTCTTCTGAGCCTCTCAAATCAGACTCTCGTGGGACTCTCCAACTGGGACAGCAGTGACTTCAAGAGGTACAATGGCTCCTGGAGCAATCCCCTCCTCTCTCTGATAAGGGTCTTACGATTCCTAATAAAGGCAGCAATTTTGCTTCCAGCTTTTACAAAGCTTTTTATAGCTCTGGCTGCTTAAAATAATTAGGAACCATAAATTCAGGGCAAAAAGACTTGCACAGAGTGTGACACGAGGGAGGGAGTATTGACCGAATCAGATTAAATCCTAGTTTATACTGGTGAACAAAACCCTTGCCACTTCAGATCTTTGACTTCCATCTCTTAGCTTCGGCCCTCACTGACAGGCCTCAAAGACCAGAGTTGGAGCTTGGGTGAAATGATAAAACAGGTTTCCTGCCCCGTTTACTGTTAACTCCGCTGTAACAACTGCAGTTGCCAGTGAAGGAAGTCCAAACCCAGGCAGAAGCAGCTGCGCTGGTAGTTCAGAGAAATCTGCAAAATGCGAATCTGGATAAAACCACCGATTCCATGAACAGCCTTAAACCCCAAGCTAAAGACTGAAGGTGTAAGAAGAACAAATAACCCAGAAACAATTCTCGCTCAGACATCTAAGTGCTCCCAATCTGTTCCTGTTCGCACAAGGCTCCCAGTCTTCAGGGCAGCCAGCCTGCCTGTCACCTTCGGCAGTGACTCCGGCGCAGACAACATCAAGCTGGACTGTCCAAATCACTCCCTGCCAAGCCAGCGAGGATGCCAGGAGGGGGAATTCAAGTCTGCAAATGCTTAACTTAGAAGACAACCTGCACAATGCGAGCAAGCTCACTACCATGCTAAATTATCTCTGCCGCTCTCTGCAGCTGCAGGTACGCTACATATTCAGATCTAGGACGCTTCTTCAAACAACCTCAGCATCAGACGACTGTAATGTTCAATTTTCTTTTCAGTGAAGAGTTAGTGCTCAGCAGAGAGTTGAAATCATTACCGCTGCAAGGTCCGGGAGCTCTCCTCATGCATCTACCAATCAGCCTCCAATCTCCCTTGACAAAAGGATATTTGGACTTTTTCCTGAAGAAATCTCTCATAATTCAAGGTAACGACACTGCTGCCACTTTCACCCCCTTCCTTCCTCCTGGTATTGTCGTTGTTTTTGGGATGCATTTCTTTGTGGTCCATCAGCAGCGCTGCCAGCCTCCCTACTCCCTTTATAATATAGCTCCACACATCTTGTAGAGATGCCAGATTTGCAGCGTTGTCTTGTCAGTATTTCTAGGAGTTCAATAAACATTTTAATTAAAGGAATGTCCTCCGAGCCAAGAAAAACGCAGCATGGGGCAGGATTACAGCCCCTTGATGGCTCATCGCCAGCATGACACGACTTCCAAGTGTAAAAGCTCAAACCAGCTCTTCTGACAGGTGACACAAAGTGGGGGCCTACGGCATGGCCACACAAGGTTGCCTAGAGCAGCGCTCCTGGGTGAATTTCTTTCTCTAGCTGCCACGAGGCCACTACTCTCTTCCTCTTCACCTTCTGGGAGCCAGCGCAACCCCAAACTCTGCCTACAACAGAGAGCATCCTTTGCAAGTCTCCTCTACTCAAAGAGGGGAGAGAAGCAGAGGGCTCTGGAGTAGCAGCCCAGTTTAGGTGCTCAGGAAGCTGGCACCCATTGCTCAAACAGCGCAGGGGTCTGTCAGGGAGGAGGTTACACCTGCTCCTCCTGCCGACACCGCAGCAGCCAGCAGCTCCTGCCTTCTCCTAGGCGTACACAAGCAGCCACCGGCTGGTCTCCACGGCGGTCTCTGTGCCACAAAGCCCAAGTCTGTGTTCAGACCATCCCCAGCAACAGCTCCTCATGCTTCTTTCCAGACCTGGGCACAGAGATATATTCCTGTTTTTTGGAATGACAGAGCAAAGTCATGGCACAGCTCACCATTACCTCAGCGCAGCAAGAGCAAACGCTCCCGGGTCTCTCACTCAGGTCTGTGGTTCTCCAACACAGAAAATCCAGGTTCAGGGCTCTAGGATAGGATCAAAAGCGCTGCAGAACACAACGCAAAATGACACGCTGTGGCTACACTGACCCCGACCTGTCCTGCCACTTGCCCCGCCCCTCCCCTGCCACTGAACGCTGCCATCTAGACCCTCTGCAGCTGCTAAACTCCCTGTTTATCTACACAAACTGGTTTGTTCTTGCAGTTCCTACTGGGAGGCTTCTCAGCTCCCTCTCTTCTTCTGGGTCCCTATTTCATTTGCAGCCAGATCATTCTAGTGTTTCTTGCCCAGCTTTTCTTCTCCAGACCAAAGTGCGATGTAACATAAAAGACCTGCAACTAGCTCTGGAGTGAAACATCACCCAGACTGTTCCCTCACACGTGCACTTCCACCAGCCCCAAAGCCCTGTACATTGAAATACCTATTACTATAACAACGGGCTTATTCCACCGAAATTCCAAGCAACTGATGACAGGAACATCTTCCGCATCCTCAGGCTTGCCGACAGTGCCCACAATTTCCCAGCCTTCTGCAGTTTTAGCCTGGAAAGGGAAAGGAAGCAAATGTTAAAAAAAATGCCTACTTTTCAAGCTTAAAAAGAAAATACATCATGTATACAAACACGGGGGGTTTTTTTAAACGTTTTCAGTTAAGCTGACTGGCTATTCTAGATTTTTGGCATTCCCTGAACTGTCACCACCAAAGTCCTCCCAGCACCAGCACACAAACATGAAAAAAAAAAAGGGGAGGGGGTTGTTGGGGGTAAGGAAGCAAAAAAAATAATTTTCCTTCTGGTGCTTATTCCAGTTCAGCAAGCAAACAAACAGCACCTGGAAAGCTTTTTTTTTTTCCCACACAACAGTTCTGGGGAGGTTTTTGCCAGGAAAGCACACAAAAAGAGTAGTGTTAAACAAATTAGCATAAGGCTAATTCACAGAGCAATGCAGTGGAAGTTCTCAAGTGCAGGCTGAGCCACCAGAAGCCCAGAGTAATGTTTTCAAGCACAAGTGCACATTTTCAAACTCTCATGCCAAAAATCAGCTCACACAAAAGGCAGGGCACTCAACACCCAGTGCCTCACAGAACCACAGAACCAGACTTCCCTCCCGCACCCTAGTAAAAAGAGCCTTAATTATTTGTCTTAGAAATCCATTCCAACAATAAAAGAGCTGCTGCTTCTTGCCAGCTTCATTTCCTGTGAAACTGGCACTTTTTACATTACATCAAATTTACACCAGCCAGGCAATGCCAAGGGTTAGGCCAGTGAATCCGGGTCCAATTAAATGAACTGCTGCAATGGCTCAACATGTTAAATAATTCAAGCTTTACAGTAACAAAAGTGATTCTTTCAGGTGCTTCAATTAAATATCAATGTATTTTACATGTCTTTCATTTCATCATCATCCAGAGCTCCAGCTGCCACCGACCTACTGTACAGCTCGACAAGGGTTTTCTAGCACCAAGCGGCAGGAGTCCAGGCTTAACCCCTGCTTGGTCTGCTCGCCGTCACCCCAGACCATGCCGAGCTCTTCCTCAAAGGGACGCAGCCGTGCAGCGACCCAGGAGCAGAGACCAGGGGCTTCCGTTCCCCCGAGGGTCCGCAGCCTCTGCCCTCCCACTCCATGCTGAACCCCCCAACCCCGCTGCTCCCCCAGGGCTGGGAGATCCCACACGAAGAGGGGTGGGCAGATGAGAGCCTGCAGCTCCCTGCTCCGCGTGCACACGATATTCAGCGGGTCCCCAGTCCAGCCAGGGCACAGGGGATCTCCACAAGGAGTTGGGACAGTCACACAGTGCCATCACAAGGGATGGACACACTGCCAATTCAGAGCAACATCCATGGGTTTGTTTCAGTTTAAATCACTTTTTCCCACGTGCATTCCCTTTCCTTTTGCAGCACGTTCTGCGAAGGGCCCCATCTCACCTCACCGCATAGGTACAGCGAAAAAAGATTCCCAGGAGCTGGCCCCAGCCCTGGTTTCTCCTCTCTCCCCTGCTCCAAAGGCTGCCCAATGCTGCCATCGTGTGCCTGGGCCCCGGGATGCTGGGCAAGACCTGCTGCGGCCAGCAGCACTAGCTCCCATCCCCAGGGAGAGAAAGGGAGACGGGGGGACACCATCTCACCGAGCTCGCAGCCTGAGCACGGGAGATAGAGACGGTGTTACCCTGCTAACGCCAACCCTCCAGGAGAAGAGCAACACCTCAGCCCTGTTACCCCCAGAACGGGACTGGGGGTGCACGCCCGTCAGAGGTGGTCCGACAGCACAGACCGCCGGCAGCAAACAGGAATGCAGAGAGGGAGCATAGGACATTGCAAGTAACTGAGTCCTCCTCCTGTGCCTCCTCTCTGTTCGACACATGCAGTATTTGAGGTTTTCTGAAAGGAAATGGGGCGGGGGGAAGTGGATCATTCTACCTTCAAAAAGCTCCGGAGATCATCTGTGCTGTAGACGTCGAAGACTTCCATAGCTCCAGAGCTAGCTTTGCTCACTGTCGGAGTCAAGGGGCAGCTGCAAGGAAAAAAGAAAGGAAAAGTGTCATATGAGAACAAAAAAGGAAGTCCAGGAGAATTTTTGTATCTGTATTTCTGTCTCTCGCCCGTGCAACCGAATTTGAACTAGTCTGCAAAAATCTGGTTCACTATACAGACATATTTTCCTACGGTGAAAAAGGAGGGCTCAGAAATTCATCCAGCGAAGAGGTTGTAGCAGTTTTGTGCACAGTTCGACAGCTGAAACACAAAATGGATTAAAACAAGAAGTAGCCAGGGAGGTTCCTTACTCGCCTGGAATAACACATCCCACAGCTTTCTGCAGAGCGCAAGGCAAAGCAGCAGCGAGCCAAACTCCGCTCGCCAGCTCAGCCCTAGAAACCCCTCCGAAGAAGCTGTCGCGCAACGCAGGCTAAAACCTCTTTGGGAGACAAAGGAAAAGACAGAGAAAAGCTGAAAGAGCAGACAACCAACCCCATACCTGTTCCTCTGGCTTGTCACCACTCTGTCCACCCCCAAGAAGTACGCAGAGCGCAGCAGTGCCCCCAGGTTCATGGGATCCTGGATCTGCTCCAGCACCAGCCAAATCAGCTGTTGGTTTGGTCTCCCTTCATCGCCCAAATCTGTTTTTTCAGCTTCTTCCAGACTCTTGAAACGCAGAGGAGTGGCCTCCAGACAAACTCCCTGGTGGACCTGACCTCTGCAAAGCGCATCCAGCTCTCTCCTTTCGACGTGGTGCACAGGGACTCCCCGGGCCGTGGCCTGAAGGACAAACTCGCTCATGACGAGCCGCCGCGAGCCGCTGCTCCGCCTGAGGCACA